CTGTGGGCCCTTTGCTGTTTAGGGCGTCTGCTCAGAGGGTGCACACGGAGCCCCCAGAGGCGAGCCTGGGCAGGTGGGGGCGGCTTACTGATTCTGAAACCCATCCTCTCTCCTCTCTGGTTTTCTGCTTCCTGTAGCCGCCCATCGGCAGGATGACTGGGGGGTTTGTTTAGAAACAAGATGAGTTACTTGCTTTGTAGACCCGCCTCTTCCTTCCTTAGCTTCTTGGGGTCTCCTGCCCAACCCCCACTGCAAGGTCAAGGCCCTTCAGCCCTTCCTGTCCAGCGGCTTTACCCAGGACATCCTTGTTTAGGGTTTGGCGGGCTGGGAAGCAGTATTGTGTGAGCCTTTTGGAACCAAGAATGTTCAGTGCAAAGCTTCCTGTTGGTCCCAGAAGCCCTGACGGATGGTTACAGACCTGGTGACCTACAGATGACCTCTAGATTGGAAAGAGTCCGAGTTGGGGCTTAGGGGGCGTTTGGAGGTCAACAGAGGTATCCCCTTGCCTCAAGGCTGTCGCTGCTATGTGGCAGAGGCCAGCGATCTATTTTCTCCCCCACATTCCTGAGCTTTATCTAGATTCTTTAGGTTTGTATATACAGGGCATTGCACGTGGTAGGTGTTTAAGGTCAGTTATCTGGCAGGTGTTCATCGAGGGGCCTACTGTATGCCAGGCATTGTGCCAGGGTCTGGGAATACCTCAGTGAGCAAGATGGATGTGGTCCACTGCCTTCAGGGAGCGGACTACCCTGCAGAAAAGACAGATAAACAAATAATCTGAATAATTCCAGATTATACCTGGATGGCTGCTTTAGCTAGGGTAATCCAGGTGGCATTTGAGGAGGTGGAATTTGAGTTGGAGAGTAGTCAGGCCTGGGGGCATAGTGTTCTGGGTAGAGGAAATGGCAAGTGCAAAGGCCCTGAGGTAGGAATAGGCTGGCAAAGTCAAGGAGTAGATAGAAGGCCAGTGAGATGACGTCAGAGAAAGACAGGGTCATGTATCTGGCCCTTGAAATTCATAATCAAGTGTTGGATTTCATTTGTAGTGTAATAGAATACCACTGGATTTTTGTTGTTTTTTTTAAAATTTTTGTTTTAAATGTTTGAGACAGAGAGACAGAGCATGAGCTGGGGAGGGGCAGAGAGAGAGGGAGACACAGAATCTGAAACAGGCTCCGGGCTCTGAGCTGTCAGCACAGAGCCTGACTCGGGCCTCGAACTCATCAACTGTGAGATCATGACCTGAGCTGAAGTCGGATGCTCAACTGACTGAGCCACCCAGGCGCCCCACCACTGGGGGGTTTTAAGCAGGGATGTGACACAGTCTGACTTGTGCTTTAATACTAAGGGTGGACACTTCTTGAGCTCCTACTATATGCTGAAACCTTATGTTTTAACTCATTTAATTCTTACAACAACCCCACGAGTTAAGGCCTATTAATAACTCCACTGATGAGGAAACTGAGACACAGAGCGGTCAGGTACCTTGCCCAGGTTCACGCTTGTAAATGCAGAGCCGGGATTCAATCCCAGGCTGCTGGCTTGAGTCCGTGCACTTGACCCTGGGCTGTGCTGCTTCCTGAAAGGTTACTCAGGCTGCTGGGTGAAGAATGGGGACAGGAGTGGAGGCTGCGAGGCCTGCAGCGAGTGGGAGCCACCTTACCTGAAACCCCTCCTGCTGTGTGGTCGCTCAGGCTCTGGGCCAGTCCTTCCTCCCAGGCTGGCCCAGCTGTCAGCACATCTCAGAGCACCTGCTCTCCTGCCACGGGCTGTCTCCCACAGGCTCTGTCCTTGTCTTGCAGAAGGACAAGTTCTGCGTGTACGAGGAATATTGCAGCAACCACGAGAAGGCCCTGCGGCTGCTTGTGGAGCTCAACAAGATCCCCACTGTCCGCGCCTTCCTCTTGGTAAGTTTACTTGTCTTCCACTCGGCTTCGGCCTTGCGAATCCCTGGGCACGAGACAGCTTCGCGCTGACCTGTGCTGCCCGGGGTCAGCTGGGCATGACAGCTGGGGTAACGCTGGGATCGCCGAACGTTTTCTGGGAAGGGCCACATTTTTGCCTTTTCGCATCATGCGCTCTCTGTCACAGTGACTCAGTTCTGCCCTGGTAGCATGGAAGCCGCCATAAATAATATATAAAGGCGTGAGCGTGGCTGTGTTCCAGGAAAGTTTATTTACTAAATAGGCGGAGGGCTGGATCTGGCCCTCGGGCCAAGTTTGCCAATTTCTGGCCTAAAGTCGTGATCCTGAAAAGAGTGGTGTCAATGGTAGTAATAATTGTATTATTAGGATTATTTAGTTATGAGTGAAAGAAAGCCCAGTTAAAATTGGCTTAAGCCAAAAAAAAAAAAAA